GCAGCAGCAGCAGCAGCAGCAGCAGCAGCAGCAGCAGCAGCAGCAGCAGCAGCAGCAGCAGCAGCAACCTTGCTGCGCGAATGGCGAGGAGGGCCTTGGCGTATCTGGTGGCAGCAAAAAGAGAATCAAATCTTTTCTTCAAAGTCGCCATATCGCCCATAGGCCAGCAGCTTTCCTCTTGGTGGCAAAACACCACGTGCTCCAGCACTGCCCGCGGGATTTCTGAGCAGCAGCAGCAGCAGCAGCAGCAGCAGCAGCAGCAGCAGCAGCAGAAGCGGCAGCAAGGGGCGCAGCACGCGGCGCGGCAGGGATGCAGCAGCAGTGGGCGCAGCGGTAGTAGCAAGAGCGGCAGCGATAGCAGCAGCAGCAACAGCAACAGCAGCAGCAGCAGCAACAGCAGCAACAGCAGCAGCAGCAGCAGCAGCAGCAGCAAGTTACCCAGCAGCGCCGTGAGCTGCTCGTCGATATTGGCGCATTTGTGGCTTATCGAAGCAACTTGTCCTTCTGCGTTTTTTATCTGCAGCACTGCTTCCAGTGCCTGCAGCAAACAACACACAGACTCCTGCTGCTGCTGCTGCTGCTGCTGCTGCTGCTGCTGCTGCTGCTGCTATTTGCGCGGCTGCCGGTGGTAACGGTTCCAGTGCTGGCGCTGCTGCTGTGCAAACTAGTGCTGCTGCCTGCGTCTGCGTTTTGCTGCAGCCCCTGCAGCAGCAGCAGCAGCTCTTTTGTTTGAAGCAGCAGCAGCAGCAGCCAGTGGATCCGCAGCAGCTGCAGCAACTAGAGCAGCAGCAGCCTGCCACAGCCACAGCAGCAGCCACAGCCACAGCAGCAGCCACAGTCCCAGCAGCAGCAGCAGCAGCCACAGCAGCAGCCAAGCAACCACACAGCAGCAGCAGCAGCAGCAGCAGCAGCCACAGCAGCAGCCAAGCAACCACACAGCAGCAGCAGCAGCAGCAGCAGCAGCCACAGCAGCAGCCACGCAACCACACAGCAGCAGCAGCAGCAGCAGCAGCAGCAGCAGCAGGAGCAGCAGGAGTACCTTGAACTGCTGCTTGATCCTGCGTTGTTTGTCGAGGGAGTTGGTGAGCTGCATGGACCTGACGACGGTGATGGCCTTTTGCTGCTGCTGCTGCAGCAGCAAAACGCGGACTTGGGCCTTCACTTCAGCAGCACTTTCCAGCAGCTGCGGCTCGAACAGCCAGCCCTTGCCGCGGTCAGCAGCAGGCGGCAGCTCCCCAGTCAGCGCGTACTTCAGGCACTCCACCAGCGTCTGCAGCAGCAGCAGCAGCAGCAGCAGCAGCAGCAGCAGCGGCGGCGGCAGCAGCAGCAGCAGCAGCGGCGGCGGGGGAGGGGAGGGGCGCCCTCCCC